GTTTGGGGACCGATATACGTAGCCTTACCCTTATATATTTAAAGAGATTATTTTCCAGACTTGCCTTTGATGCTGGCCTGACAGTTGCTCATTAATATTGCACTTTTTCTTTTTTGTGCATTGAATTTGTTATTTACTGTTTTGATTCTTCGGTCAAATTAAGTGAATATCCAAGCAAATTGGCGACAGGATTTGCTTATTTCTTTTTCTTTCAAGTACACAGGAGAAATGGCCCTTCTTGTTGAGGGCTTGGGAGTAGGTGGCGAGACATCCATTGAGGAGTACATAATTGGCCCTGCTAGTGAGCTTGATGACCAGGGAGCAATTGCTGACAAGGAACAGATCACGTTGTATGGGCCAGAAGAGGGTGTTGCCCTGGTTGCTCGGCCCGTAAAGGGGCAAAGCATCCTTGGAAGTGCTTTCAGTCTTTTATCTCGCCGTGGTAGTATGGAAATACAGAGTAACATACCACTGATGGATCCTTTGGTGACCCTATTTGGAAGTGTCCATGAGAAGCCACCTGAGATGGGCAGCATGCGAAGCACACTGTTTCCTAATTTTGGAAGCATGTTTAGTGTGGCTGAGCAGCAACCTAAGAATGAGCAGTGGGATGAGGAAAATCTTCAACAGGAGAGTGAAGATTATGCATCTGATGCTGGAGGAGATGAGTCCGATGACAATGTACACAGTCCATTACTTTCTCGTCAAACAACAGCCATGGAAGTGAGGGACAGTGTCCCACCAAGTGACAGTGTTTTCAGGCAAACTAGTAGTCTGACCCACATAAATGCTGGAGAGGCAGTCAGTAGCATGGGTATTGGTGGGGGATGGCAGCTGGCTTGGAAATGGTCAGAGGAAGAAATTCAAGATGGGAAGAAGGAAAGAGGGTTCAAAAGAATCTATCTACACCAGGAGGGTGTCCCTGGGTCACGGAGAGGTTCTCTTGTTTCGCTTCCAGGAGGTGAAGCCCAAGAAGGCAGTGCATTTGTCCAGGCTGCAGCATTGGTGAGTCAGCCTGCTCTTTATTCTAAGGAGCTCATGGACCAGCATCCAATTGGCCCAGCAATGGTTCATCCATCAGAAACAGCTGCTAAAGGGCCAAGGTGGTCAGATCTTTTTGAAGCAGGAGTAAGACATGCCTTGTTTGTTGGAATTGGGATCCAGATCCTTCAGCAGGTAAGTCTACATGTGAAGGAAAGATATTGGTTTTAGGTCTGCTTAGACTACTTAGCTTATAGTGAAAATTTGGTTTCAAGCATCTTCAGTGACTCCTTTCATTGGTTTTAGTAACTGGGAAAGCTTATCCTTCTTGTACTGCCTGGCGGTCTCCGGGCAACTTTATGACCTACATTTCCATAGCAAAATTTGAATATTCTAATAATCCTGTTATTCCAATTAGTAAAACACTCAACACCTCTTTTTTCTCTAATGGTTACTTCCTAAATGCTTATATGTAAATACATTTTTGTGAGATTGCAAGACTTTATGCCATCATCATATTCTTTCACTTGATTGCAACCTTTGCTCTCAAGCAATACTTCCATATGAAGTGTCATGGCCTTCATCACAAGATTTATTGCATATACTACTAGAGGTATAATGACAACCTCTTTTCTTCTCAAATGTATGGGGCATCAGATGATGCTGATACCCCATTGTTAATGATTTTTTATGCTTGTATAGACTAAGGAAGCTTTAATGGATCTAATATGCCATAATGCCCCAGTGTTTGAGTTCGTAAGATTGCCTCCTCTTCCCTACAAAAGGTTCCAACTTGATCCATAAATTAGAATTGCCTTCTCTTCCCTACCAAAAGTTCCAGCTTGTGCTGCATTACTGCCTTTTCATTTAGTGAATGTATGAGATCGAGTATGGAATTCAATGTACTCACTTTACATTGAATATCTGTTTCCCTCCTTTTCCTGCTAGGATTGGAAATCCTGTATTTTACATATCCATACGGTCGAGTCCTTAGGTTTCCGAAATAGTGTGATGTAAAAAGAAGTGCTTCGAATCATTGCTATTTGACTCGGACCTGTTCTAAAAAAGTCGAGGTATTTCGAATTGTTTGTTGACACGGACAAAGTAAGGGAAAACCTCTGAAATGATTTCAATATTGGACTCCAGGGCTGGTCACTCTTTTAACATCTTAAAGAATTGATGTTGCATAATCTTTGGTGACACAGACTATGAAAAGCGTGCTGCTTGGTTAATCGTTAAAGACTTTCCCATAGATGTTATCATCAGGTGATCAGATTTTTCACTCTCTTGAAAGAACATGATATAAGACTTACAAGTTATATCACGGCACCAGTTTGATTATGTGCACATGTTTCGAAGCATCAGGGGAACTCTTCTGATGTTGCCAACATTCATCTTTTGGCTTTAGTACTTGAACTGATTTATTCAATTCTAACATAAAATCTAGTCTTGTACGAACAGACAACAATAACAATCTTCATTGACATTTCTGAAATGACCTCTTCGTACCTCCACATTTCTTTTTTACAGACTCATAGTCCTTGGTACTCATTTTGGCTTGTGATCTCAGCAGTTTGAGTGGTTACAGTCAATTGCTACTACTATATGTACCAAACCATATACTACTATGATTTGTATCTTCAGCTGAATTGTGTAACTTCTTATTTAGCAAACTACAGGCTAGACTATTCTATGAATACATGTCTGTTCTTCCTTCTGCCAATGGAGAAGTAACTTTGTATATGTTTCGCCCAAAGAGAAAGTGGGTTTATTTCACTTTAAATTTCGTTAGGACCTACAAAATTTACATTCTTTTGATGTTCATTTTTTTTCTGATTCGGTACTATTCTTAGCACAACATCCATGCTTAGTTCTTTCTTGTTGTATCTTCTATATGTTCAATAAGCTTTTCATCTTTAGTCATACACTGCCTCATTTCCAGTTCATGAGCATTGATTAGCGACCATGCCATCAGGATTCAAGATCTAACAATTTTTCACACTACCATAGATTGCTTTCAAGAAACTTTCTTCTTTTATATTTCATTAAAGGCCATTGTTTGATACTGCTTCTCTGCTTTGCAGTTTGCAGGCATAAATGGGGTGCTCTACTACACTCCTCAGATTCTTGAGCAAGCTGGTGTTGAAGTCCTGCTTTCAAATATTGGCATCAGTTCAGATTCAGCATCTCTCCTTATTAGTGCTCTCACAACATTGTTAATGCTTCCCAGTATTGGCATTGCCATGAGGCTTATGGATATGTCAGGGAGAAGGTAATTCGGCTTCTTTTCTGTCAGTTCATATCTAGCCTTTTTTATTTGCATGATTGTTAGCATCAGCAGTATTTATTTAAGTGTTCTATACCCTGCTTTTGCATTGCACCATGGGTTAAACAACGACCTTTGTCTCTCCGTTTACATTATGCAGGTTCCTTTTGCTGTTCACAATCCCCATCTTAATAGCATCACTGATTGTTTTGGTTGTTGCCAACCTCGTAGAACTGGGCAATGTGGTTCATGCAGTGCTTTCCACTGTCAGCGTTATTGTTTACTTCTGCTGCTTTGTCATGGGATTTGGACCAGTCCCAAATATACTTTGCGCAGAGATCTTCCCGACTCGGGTCCGTGGTGTGTGCATAGCTATCTGTGCACTCACTTTCTGGATAGGAGACATTATAGTCACCTACACCCTACCTGTGATGCTTGACACCATTGGCCTTGCTGGCGTGTTTGGGATTTATGCAATAGTTTGCGTCATAGCTTTTGTGTTTGTGTTCCTAAAGGTTCCCGAAACAAAGGGCATGCCTCTTGAAGTTATCACAGAGTTCTTCGCTGTTGGGGCGAAACAAGCTGCTGCACGAAATTGATTGCACTCAGCTATTATTATCACAAAGGTATCATCAGACATCCTGGCCATTTCTTGCATACCTCTAAAGATGAAATTACTGTGTGTGAGCATTTAGAGTGAGACTACAGATGAGAAACCAAAAGAGATGCACATTTAAGCAACCCAAGGTACTTGATCTAGTATTTGGTGTTCGATCTGGTAATGATAAGAGTCGACGTTTGGAGTTCATCTACCTTCCTTTCAATGGCATTATCTTCTTCTTCCTTGTAATATTTTCTTATGTAAGAATGTTTTTTTTCGTGGATTTCTTCTACGACTAGGAACTGATGCAACCAGTAAAACTTTCTGTGAATTTGAAGCTAATAATTGTGTGCACTCGGTTGGTCTCGATGATATTTCTGTTCTTAGCATAATTCTATATACCGATTAAAAAAAGGGGAAAACTATTGCATTTGGCTCAAGCCGAAGAGACAAACCAGACATAATTGTCAGCTAAAACAGCATATTGAAAAGCTGGTAAGCAGTTCATCTATTCATGGCTGTTGAAATCTGTGAGCCTCGTGATATTGATCTATTTTTTTCTCATCTCTTCAACTCAGAACTGTCAAAGTTGATTGCATGGCTGCTACCCTGATACATTCGCGGCTGCTCTTGTCGTGAGCTGATCATCTTAAGTTCATGTGTTATCGTATGTATCTTGGATTATGGTATATGTAGCCATCTTAGGATGCCAAGATCATTCTATTGTTAGATTGGACATCTGCCATGGAGTTGATTTCTACAATAATATTACTTTCTTGAATCCACTGATTCTTCATGTAAGTCCTCCAATCTTGTTATCCCTTGAAACAAAATGCTGTTATATCCAGCAATGGTATCAGATCATTTACATCATCATATTTATGAAAATGGTAATTCTTTTTACCAATGAAAACTAGTCATATGTATCTTTCATTGGATTCGATCCGAGTAAGCATCCGATAGACCGAACCCTTTTCCAGAAAGACTCGCTTTCAACTTAGTCATGTGGAACTCTCAAGTAATGTTTCATCCCAAAGCAGTCCTCTTCTCAAAGATTTTGACAAACTAACTTTTACCTTGAACGATCTATATGAAATGAGACAGTGTATATGTACTGGAACAATGGAAAGTTGATTGAATGCAAGTTCATAATCTTCAGACCATCAACGTTAACATAAATATATGTAAACATTAAGAAATCCAGGTAAACTGATGAATCCATACTTACAAGCTGCTTTGTACAAGCTCGTGATGTTATTATAAGACCATATAACCACGCAAACAAGCAATTGTTACAAGTTCAGGGCATGCCTTTTGCAAGCAATTTTACAATCAGACATGATCATGAAAGGCCATCACTCTGATTGCTGTCCACTTTGAGCAGGAAGTTGTGCAAATGAGAATGAGAAGTTTTCTTGATCTTGTCCTTCTTTCACATGCAGCTGTTGCTCGGTTGGTCCAGCCCCCTGGTTGATCTGCAAGGAGGATATCTCGACTTCTCCACCTGAATTGCCATGGTCCGAGGCACCTCTCCGTGGAGAACGGTAGTGTGCTTCCCCCATGTGGCCTATCGATCTGTATCGATGCATCGAATGAACAGGGGATACGTTTAGACTCGCCCTTGGGCTCACCCTAGGGCTCGGGGTCCTTGATCCAGATTGTGAAGTTTCTTTAAGCTTCTTCTTCACGCCTTGATGCCATCTCTTGAGAGCCTTGCTCGTGTGTTCGTCAAATATGGACCTCTTCAAGTGTGACCCCATCTAAAGAACAAAACTTCAACATCCTTGACCAAGTTTTTAAAGATAAACTCAACATTTTTTAATCCAAGTGATAAGTTATGCAAGTTAAGGTGTTTTACATGCATTCTGGCAAACATTTATCAGAAATAGAAGAAAGAACAAATACCTGAGATACAAGTGCATATAGTGGAAGTGTAAAGTAGCTGCATAAAATTTGGCCCCCAACTCTGCAATCACAAGATTACAGGAAGAAGGTCCTTTAGTAAAGGAAAGGATAGGCATCTGATTGGTAACTAAGTAATCATTTCATCAGATCTCTCATTGGAGATTCCTTTAGAATGCTCATGGTTACTTTGTTTTTTCAGACACTTCGATTGTAAGCAATAAAAGAGTGTTCCCTCATGAGAAAAAAAGGTAACAAGGAGTGAGATTCTTGAAGCTTACCCGATAATAATTCTCGCGATGATGAACTTAAATTCATTGTGGAAACAAGACTTCAGCCCAAACTCATACTGCATAAAGTAAGCCGGAGCACCTTGAGTTGCAAGAAAAATATAGTGATCATCATAGATGAAGAAACTGCCCTAAAAGGAGGAGTTTTACCCATATCCAAAAGAAGTATGTAATCTGAAATGCATTCTGAAACACATGTAAAAACAGCAAATAAGATGTCAAACAAAGCCAGATATTAATCAGAGAACGATGTTAAAAAAAATAGACCATATTATGATTAGTCCACGACTAGAAGTCTGCATGTACAAATGCCATTTTTTGTTGACGGATAAACATCCAAATAAAGGTTGAATTATGCCACAATGACGTGAACTATGACAAGAAAACATCGCTGACCTGAAACAGTGCCAAATGGAGTAGAAACAGAACATATCTAGGGTGCCCAAACCAAAAGTGTTGATCACTGAGATGCACCAGAGGAATGCCCTGGACAACTGTATGCCTCTCTCGGATTTCATTAGCCATCATTGATATAATTGCCTGCAGCTTCATTCCAACTGCCAAAATTATCTGCATCACTAACACAAAAGATTAGTGATTCTAACTAAACAACATGGTGTATCACTCACATTTTAGGAACATTTCAGGCTTACAACTAGAGGAACCATTGATGCCCAGAATAGTTCCTGCCATCCTGATGGGAGAAGAAGTATTGTCATATGCCGAAAACTTGAAATATTTCTGTGATACTATCTTTTGCATGCTAAACAACACAAGATGTATGCTTACCATGAACATTAAGAAGCAAAACTATCACAGCAGAAGCCCATAAAATAGGACTGTTCAGACAGAAAGAAATGAAGATAAGAGTTAATGTTTTAGTAATAAGAAAATTTAAATCATAATTGAAGTTTTTTTCATATAGGAATATCTATGAAGTGCTTGAACATATATTGTTTCATGTGGTCACATTAAGTAGATGGACAATTTAAGAATAGCCAATACAGTTAAAATGAGCCTTGCTTATTTGACTGCTAACATGAATATCATGTTTGACCTATACAATGGCGGTTTTGCATAGTGAACATAAAATTATGAGAAGGGGGCAAAACAAGGTTTTGCTGCTAAATATGCACCATAATTTAGAAAAATAAAGGTTTTGATCCTTCAAAATTGGGAAATGTGGGGGATCAAATAGTAATCAAGGTTTCAAATCTCAACCGCACTAGTTGGTATAGAATGGTATTACCAGTCTGATCAAGTATTGATATCGAAGCACATAGCTTGATATCAGTCCAATGCTATTCATATTTATTTTGTTATATATTTTATTCAGTGATATTAGGCAGTATAGTTTTGTATTATACTGGTACTGTCTGATCTGGTAGGTTATCAAACCATTGTCAAATAGAGAATCCTTGCTTGTATCATTGAAAGACCAGATTATCTCTTCGTCTAATGTTTATTATATAGTCTGACCCCTATTTCATTCACCAAAAATGTTTTCAAGCATTCTATACTTTGTCGCGTTACAGTAAGGTTCTTAAATTCTTCTCCTAGTTTCACATGTGGGCGTATGTATAATTATCCAGAATTTGTCTAGACTTGAAGTTCAAAAAAACTCTTGAGAACTTTTTAAGCATCTAAAATATTTCTAGGAAGCAATCAATTTAGGTAAGTTAGGAACAATAATATGGAAACATCTTTGATTGTTTTGATGGTTACATAAAATGTCAGGTGATATGAATGCTGAAATACTAATCCTGACAAAATAATAAAAAGGTTTGGTGATCAAAATACCTGACCCCAACAACTACCTTGAAGTCATCCTCCATAGCCCTTTTGATGTATCTTTTGAAATTAAATTTTGTTCCCGGAGCCAGGTGGACCTACAAGCCTCAAATGATCAACAAAGTACAAATCTTAAACATAAGAAATTTTTCATGGGAAAAACTTACACTTATAAAACCGTGGCGCATAGTCAAGTAATCAACTTTACTAACAGACCTCAAGAATTGATTAAAGAAGCTTACCTGGATTACATGAAACCACAGATTGTCATATTGTACACAGTGATACAAAAATGGAACTATCACTTGATGCATGGCACCAAAATTAATACAAAAATGTAAATTTTCACTGCACATGATATTACATGAACTTTATAACTGTTAAAACATCAACCTTTATCATAATCGCAGGTTAATTCTTTTTTTTGAAGTTTTAGATTTACAGTAAAGGGGTCAAGTTAATTGATACACTACAAGAGAGGTGAACATATGAAAAGAATTGAAGCTAGCAAAAATTCTGGATATTTTGTCTTAATGGATCAAACTAACCACTCAAGAATTAATGATATATTTATACAGTAAAACAGAAAGCTGACAAAGCAAGCTCTACTTACAACGTATAACAAGATTGTGATTCTGTTCCAAAAGCTTGCGTGTCGCTTGACAAATGTTATCTCATCAGCAAACCTGAATCTTGATGGATCTGCATTGTTTTAGCATAAATATTTCACAATGACATTAAAAAGGACAATAGGATAGTACCAAAAGGATAAAAAATCATCCAAAATAAAACCTAAGCTATAAGTATAGTGACTAAGATCTTCTTTAAATACTTCTGTTCCACAAGCTGAAGAGAAAATCACCAACACATAGTGACCTATGTAATGACGAAATGATTAATAGTCATAAATAAACAAACAGGTGAAGTTAAATACAAGCAAACAAATATAACTTAGTATTGAACTTGGTTCCAAGGAATATTTCCTATAGAATTTGACGTGTATTAAAGCCCATCAAATGTGACAAACTGGCAACTATTAAATCCTTGTTCTTGCAGAACAGCTGGAATAGTCGAGCATAAATGGGCTCATGGGCCCTACATATAGACCTTGCATTCTCTGTCTCCACCTTCTCTTCTACCTTCTCTCTTTCTTCTTCACCTGTCTACTATGCTACTTTTCATAGCTTCTATAAAATGTTGGGCCCTTTCCTATTAGCTTAAGATTTTGATGGATTTGCAATTCCTAATAACTTATCATGGAACTAAATCAAGTTATGATTTTAACTCCTGGCTCAACAGCTTTTTCATTAATATTCCATCCAGTGGTTATATTACCCACATATATATATAGATATATATATTATTTTTTTATTTTTTTATTTTTGGTACAGTCTGTTAATACTTGGCAAGTGTTGTGATCTTGCACTTGGGTTCATGTGCCTAGTCTAGCTTTCATCCAGCTTGCACATGAGTGGGAATGCAAGTGCTTATTATAATCCTTTCTTGCTAGCTTAGTCTTTTAGATGAAATGTAACGGTTTAAAACTTATCGCAACTCTTTTTCTTGGTTGACATGGACAACTCTTTACAGATCAAGCATCTGCATACACTGATATGTAGAATCTTAAAAAAGAATAGTCACTCCACAGACAATAAGAAGTCTAGTGTGTTATAATATATATTCTTTTACAACAATCAGAGTTTATTTAAAGGGTTAAAAAATACAGTTGTAAATTACATATATAGCATAGAACATGACTAATGACATGTAATTATAGAGCATTGTTATCCAAGTCTCTTTAGTAAAACAATGATCTGAGAGTGCAGGGAAAATAACAAGAATTTTAACAAAAAAGACAAATCATAATGATGATCCATAGCTCCATTTAATAAGAAAAGTATCACAAATCACCATCCAAATTCCATTAGCTTTAAAATGATGTAAGATACAAATCATAAACAATGAATTCAATATGATGTATCTGTCTTGTCAATCATCAAGAATGACACTAAAAAAATCAATGCCTACACCAGAGTCCCAGGAGCATCCATTTGTTTAAAATTAATTAAAAGGTTTGATAGTTCAAGCCATCGGGAAATCATCCATGTATCCAAGGGATACCTAATGCTTGTCCAATACATGTTCAGTATGAATACAGAATATCTTTTGAATTTTTTTATTTATATGCATCTCATATTTGACTGCAACCTTGGTGGTGAACTAGGCCAGGGGGAACTGATGACAACACTGGAAGGGTTTGTAGTGTAAAGATGATTTATTCAAAGGCTTAGGTTGGAAAAATGGGTTAGAGAAAATGGTTGGAACAAGTTCTTCGTGCCTCTCGGTTATTTTTCTCTAGAGAACTACGACCTGTGGCTGTTCAGAAGGCCTTGATTGGCTTTACATATCAGTGTCAGGCTACAACCAACAGACTCAGGTTGTGGCAGCCAAATCACAGTGACTAGCCAACTGCTGTAAGTGGGCAAGTGTCAACAATCTGAAACCTTCAGATTTATGTCAAATTAACTCACTGGAAACCTCATTCAAGAAGCTTTAGGAGTACCAGTGGGTTCATGCCAAAACTGGGACATGGCAGCTTCCAGCCATGAATCACAAAGTGCTCCATGCCATCTGTGGCAAAAGAGATACAATCATAGCAAGACAACATTTGATGGTACATGCAGAGTTAGCCTTGCAACTCTGATTGCCTTTGCAATAACATGGGAAGATTTAGTGTAGGCCTACCCGCCTGTCTGATAAATACATATGCTGCATCCACTGTCTATTAGTTGGTACGGTGGAACTACAAGCGAAAAGATGTTCCATATCTCTTAAACATATTTGTTCTAGGCATAACCTCTCATGGTTACCAAGCTTATATGTGCAGCGATTATGTGTATATAGCATAGACCGTTTCACCCGAACCGATACGAAACAAGCTGTATGTACCAGTCTGAGTGTGAATCGGTACGTGGACCACTTGTATATAGCATAGGCCATTTTGCCCAAACTGGTACGAAATGGACAGTATGTACTGGTCCGAGCATTAATCGATACATGGACTGCCCCAC